AGAGGGGCTAGGCCTCAGGAAGAAGAGCATGAACTGGGTGAACTCTGAATTTCATAAGTTTCATTTGTCAGGAAATCTTATTGTCTTTCCCAACCAGATATCTAAACATCAGACTAGGGGTGTGGCTCAATGGTAGATTGAGAATATCCCCCTTCCCATATTGACCACATGTCATTCTTCTTTACTGTGTAGCATGCTTGAGGCCTTGTGTTCGACCCCCAGAACTAAAAAAAAAAGTAATAAAATTTGAAAATCTTTCTTAGATTACAGGCCACATAAAAACCAGCAGCAGACCATTTTTGCCCCTAAGCACAATTCAGGAACCCTGGCAATATTTTGTAATTCTTTATATTTAATTATAAAATGTCTTTTTTTTTTTTTTGGCTAACTATTACTCATCAAATATTTGATTCACTAACAGGGGCAGAGGAGCCTGGTTTTTCCCCTTAAGTTAATATTAACATCTTGTATTTAACATGGCAAAATTTCCTTCCTACTTTTACAAATAAGGAAGCTATTGAAATGTTCAAGCAGGAGCTACTGACCCCAAATAGGAGGATTAATTAAATCTAAAAGCACGAGGCTTTTTATAATGTGTCTGCCATAGATGGGAGAAAGAAATATTGCTAGTCCGGATGGGGACAAAAGTAGGGAAAGAGCATATGGCTTACAGTTGGGAGATTCGATTTAAAAGTCAAATGCATCTTTATTTAAGGGATTACTTCTATAAATTCTATTCAACTCCCAAAATTCTGCAAACAAGACTTTCTACTTTCAATTATATATACATAGTGCCTAGAATTAGCTTAGTGAATACAAACTTTCATTTCATGAAGCATTTAAACTGAAAGGGCACTGCTTTAAGTCATGGGCTCTGAAAATTTTTCCAGTCCACAATTATGAAGACATTTTAACACAATATCTCACTTTAACCAAACAAAAAATATCTGGAATGTCATTGTATTAGTAAAGTAGTATAGAATTCTCTAGCTTAAGACCAAAAAATTTTAAGAAATGCCAGTCAGATCCGGTGTACAATATTCCAGGGAGACATGAACATGACATGAATATTTCATCAGTGCTTATGATTCACAGGTTAGCGAAATCAGGGAAGCAGCAGCAAATGGGATAAAGATTTTCTCTATCAATTTTCAGTTAAAAAAAAAAAAAAGGCACTAGTGAGCTGGGGTTGTGGCTCAGCAGTAGAGCGCTCACCTAGCATGTGTGAGGCCCTGGGTTCAATCCTCAGCACCACATAGAAATAAATAAAATAAAGGTATTGTCTCCACCTATAACTAAAAAATATATATATATTAGGGGCTGGGATTATGGCTCAGTGGTAGAGTGCTCCTCTATCACATGTGAGGCCCTGGGTTCAATCCTCAGCACCACATAAAAATAAATAAATAAAATAAAGGTATTGTTTAAAAAAAATGGAGAAGAATATGGCACATTAAGTGTATATTTTAAAAAAAAAAAGAATATATATATATATATATATATATATATATATATATATATATATAAAACAAAATAGGCACTAAAAAAGTTTTGTTCTTTCCAACATAGCTGCCATCTTTTTCTACTACAGAAGCCTCAGAATATTTCTGTAATCTTTTCACCCATAAAATCTCAAGTCTTGCTGGGCACAGTGGCACATGCCTGCAATCCCAGCTACTCAGGAGACTGAGGCAGGCAGATCCCAAGTCTGAGGACAGCCTCAGAAAATTAGGGAGGTCCTAAGCAATTTAGTGATACCCTGTTCAAAATAAAAAATAAAAAGAATTGAGGATGTAGCTCAGTGGTAAAATACCCCTAAATTCAATCCCCAGTAAAAATAAAACAAAATACCTTAATTCTTACAGATGAAGGCAACATACCAACACACAAAACAAACAAAACAAAAAGAACCAACACACAAAACAAAGTTCTCAGCTCCATCCTGCCCGTGGGTCTGGCCTACAGATACCTGCCAGCCCTCGGCCCTGTAGTTAAGTATTCAATAACTTTATACACTGGACATACTGTGTAGTTTTTTGGTATTAATAACTCTTAAAATTTGCACCTGATTCATCTGTGAGCAATTTTCCAGTCCAACTTTTGGGAGAATTTCTCTCCCCTTCAGCTGTCTACTCGTGCCCTCCTCTACCTCTAGTTTTCTTCTTTGGGCACTAACCCTAATTCCAACCCTAATGGTAACAAGCACAAAAAGTAATGTTCAAGACATCAGGAAAGGCAGTCTCTCTACAGACATCAACTATGAACCTGGTACTTCATATATGCTCTCATTTAATCCTCCTACCAGTCTGATAAAGTATTAGATCTTAATTTTTCAGATTCTGAGAAGTTAAGGAACCTGCTCAAGGACCAGGGTGACTAACTATCCCAGTGTGCCTGACACGGAGGAGGTTCCTTAGGGGTTCCTAATTTTAAAACCTGTACAGTCTCAGGCAGTTGATCATCCTACAAAGAACACATAGTCTATCTTAGTCCACTATGTGTTGCTTTTCTAAAGAATCTTGAGACTGAGTCATTTCTAAAGTATAGAGGTTTATACAGCTAGTACTTCTGGAGGCTGGGATGTACACACACGGAGCCCAGATCTGATGGGGGTCTTTCACTGCATTACAACAAGGTGGAGGGCACTGCATGGTTGAGGCAGAACAAGCCTGCTTTTACAACAAAGCCACTCCATGACAACCCATGAATCCATGAACGGACTAACCTCTACACCCATCAAACCATGAACATATTGACCCTTCATCACCCAATCACTTCCCAAAGGACCCATACTCACATATGCTAACATATGAATTTGGAGATTAAGTTTCCAACACATGAATCTGGGGGCCTGGGGGACATACTCAAACCATACTTTCTTTTCTTTTTCTTTTTTTTTTGGTGCTGGGGATTTAAATCAGGGGCATTTTTACCACAAGCTACATTCCCATCCCTTTTTATTTTTTATTATGAGACAAGGTTTCATAAGTTGCTGAGGCCCTCATTAATTTGCTAAGACTGGCCTCAAATTTGTGATCCTCCTGTCTCAGCCTCCCAAATCACTAGGATTACAAGTGTATGCCACCATGCCTAGTTCTTAACCTTTCATAGGTTCATATTTGAACCCAGGTTGATTTGGCTCCAAAGCCTGAGAACTTTCTCCAAGAACTCCTGTTACTCCCACTATAAACTCTCAAACTTCAGAAGCCACATTTTCTTCCCCACAGGCTTACTCTAATTTTGGTAAACGATTAGTCTCTCCTTATTCTGTTTTCCTCTACAATGTTCACTTTGTTTTTCTTTTTTTTTGCAGTGCTGGGAATTAAACCCAGGGCTTCATGCATGCTAGGCAAGCACTACTGGATAATAAAAAATTATTGTACAATTAAAAAGCAAAAGACAGCCAGGGGTAATGGCACACGCCTGTAATCCCAGCTGCTCCAAGACTGAGACAGAAGTATCCCAAGTTCAAAGCCAGCCTCAGCAACTTAGCGAGGCTCTAAGCAACTTAGTGAGACCCTGTCTCAAAATTTAAAAAAAAAAAGAAAAAAATTAAAGGGCTAGGGATGTGGCTCAGTGGTTGAGCACCCCTGGGTTTAATCCCTGGTTTAAACAAAACAAACAAACAAACAAAAGCAAAGGGGGCTACAGAAAGGTTGATTTCTTTTACCTCAGCCTATTTCTCCTTTACTATTATTAACAGTAAAAGCCCTTTGCGGGTGGGATAGGGCAGTAATTAGGGAACTGAAAAACCAATTGTGCTTGCCTCAAGGATATAAGGGCAAGATGACCCAAGAAAGCCTGTTCCCACCCATCTCCAAGTGGCCTGAGGTAAAGCTGACCACCAATTTAAAGCAGAAAGTAAAATCTATAGAGTAAGGAAGGCAGGGCAGTTCCTGTGCTCCCTATGTCCTAAGGAGAGATATTAAGTGGTATTTAATGGGCGTTTGAAAGGAAGTGTGTCTAAGGTGTATACCCTCAGGAGGTCTCAGCCTTGTCATTGATCCTCAGGCACCAGTGCCCTCATTCCAACCCCTCAGGACCCTAGCCCTCCTCAGACCTAATACCATCTCTAATATTACTCAGTGACCCAGTATCAGGAGCCACCAGTAATGACTTAAAGGTAAAAAAGAATTGAGAGAGGATCTGGGTTGGCATTGAGATGCGGTTTCCAGCAGGGCACAGTGGCACAGGTCTCTAATCAATCCCAACTACCTGGCAGGCTGAGGCAGAAGGATCACAAGTTCAGGCTGGCCTGGACAACTTAGGGTAACACTCTCTCTATAAAAAGTGCTGGAGATGTAGCTCAGTGGTAGCAGAGTGCTTGCCTAGCATGCACCAGGCCCTGGGTTCCATCTCCAGCAATGTCAAAAAAAAAAAAAAAAAAGATACACTTTGGCACCCAACTAGGAATTACCATACACAGAATGTTTTTTGTGGGAAAATGGATTATTCCAAACAAATCATTGTCATACAGAAACTCCTGTAGCAAAACTGTGTGGAATTATCTAAGTACTTCCTCAAAGGCAACAGGCTTTACTTCCACAATACTTTGGGCAGTGCGTGAATGAATGCTCAATAAGTAACGTTTATATAATGGATTTCCTCTGCTTGATAAATTTCACTGCTTTTCCTTCGGTCGTATTTCACTGACTCCCACCCAGCATATGAGACACAGCCAATGAGTCAGTAAATACTCTCTACATTCTTGATACTCAGAGAGTGGTCCACGGACTCGCTGCATCTGCGTCATTTGGGGGGCTTATCAAATCAGAATGTGCATTTAAAAAAAAAAACCAAACAAGATTCCCAGGCAAATCGCATGCACATCAAAGTTGGAGGAACATGCCTTAGAATTTTGCTGTATATAAATTCTTCCAATCTCTACATCAGCGTAAGAAAAAAAAAATTCTGCAGAGGGCCAGAAATCAGCCCACGGAGGGGTTGGGACACTTGTCACGCGGGGCGTCCTTCTCCCTGACAGTCCCCCATCCGCTCACCTTGATGCGCTCCCCATCAATCTCCACCGCTCGCTCTCGGAAATCCACCCCGATAGTGGCCTCGGTGCGGTCGGGGAAGCGGCCGGCGCAGAAGCGGTAGGTCAGGCACGTCTTGCCCACATTGGAGTCGCCGATCACGATGATCTTGAAGATGCGGGAGCGGGCCGGAGGCAGGCACCCCGAGCCCCCGGACACCGTGCAGCTGGAGGAGAAGCTTGCCTCGAGCGACGACTCCATCTCCGAAGCCATTCTCCCGACCCGCCCCCAACTGAGGCGGAGGAGAGGAGACGCAAAGAGGGCGAAGAATTACGCCACCGCCACGAGCACGCCCAGCCCTCTACCCCGACTGCGCAACGTCCCGGGTGCCGCCGCCGCCGCCGGCCGCGCAGCGCGCTTGCGCACCTCCCGCCCCGCCTCGCACAGGTGTGGCGGCCGCCGCCGCCGCCCCGCCCGCGCAGGCGCCCGCAGCGCGCGGCTCCGCCCCTACCGCGCTCGCGCCGCAGCCCGTCAGGCCCAGGGAGCGTGGGGCTGGAGCGGGGCAGGCCTTTTGCTTGAGGACGGCAGAACACAGCGCCTCCGGCCCCGCACCCGCCACGTCCGAGGTTGCCGCCCTCCGGAGGAAGCCGCGCGAGTCCTCTGGGGCGGGGAGAAGGGGACCGCCGCAAGGAAGGAGGTGCCGCCGGGCTCTCTCGCGAGAGGGCCGGGAGCCGCCTTGGCGGGGGCGTGCGCCTGCCCAGCGACGGGGAGGAAGTCGGCGGGCTCTGCGGGCGGCGGGCTCCGTGGCTTGCAGCTCGGGCCGCCCTCGGCCTCGCCGGCGCCTTCTTGTCAGTGAGCCGGCGAGGGCTGGCGCCCAGGGCCCGAGGCTTCGTCCCACGGCCACGTGCAGGTATCCGGGGATCCTGGCGCCCAGGTCCAAAGGTGGAGCAAGTCACCTGAGGGCCACTCGGGGGCCTGTGACCCCAGCCTGTCGGATGAAAATAAAACCCATTGTGCCCCAGTTGTGTGTTAGCGTCTGGGCGGCGATGATGTAGTGGTTAAATACCAGCGCGCCCGGGTCGGCTGCCACCGGAGGGTGTTAATAGGTGAGACCGGCAGCCTTAAGGAATGGCCTAGAATTCTGCGGTGGAGACCTACTACTATACGTTGTCGTACAAAAGGTCCCAAAGGGCAGATAGACCGCTTTTTGTTAAGAGTGCTGCCTTGTTTTGCAATAACAAAACTATTTTACTTTCTGTTTTGAGCAGATGGTGATGTCGTTAAAAGTCAAGGACTATGAAAAGGAGGACAACAGAACTCTAGAATTGTAGGAAAGGAGATAAGCTGCTTATCCCATCAGATGAAATGAAAACGTAATCAGAGTGGTAGGATCTAAACATACCTAGAGTTGCCAGAAATTTACAAAAGCCTTAATATAATTTCTGTTGCTGAAGAAAAAAATGCAATCACTAATATACCACGTTATGTTAACCAGAAAAAAAGTTTACCCACCTCGTTTAACAAATAAGGCAATTGTGCTTACCTACTTTCCTGCTACAGAAACTAGAATATGGGCTGGAATATCGAAATTGTTTGTCTCTAAGGTTACTTCCACGAAGATTAATCCTCTAACCAGGTGTGGTGGTGCACACCTGTGTCCCAGCGACTTTGGAGGCTGAAGCAGGAGTATCAAGTTCCAGGCCAGCCTGAGCAATTTAGCCAGACCCTGTCTCAAAATAAAGGACTGAGGATGTGGCTCAGTGGTAAAGCACCCGAGCATTCAATCTTCAGCACCACCACCCCCAAAAAAATTCATCCAGAAACAACTATTAGAGGACCTTGGAATATATTATCCCTCTATTCTATTCCCGTCAAAGGATGGAATCTAAAGATTTAAGTTGAATTCAAAGCTGTGAATAATCAGGGAATTTCGAAGGATGATTTATCAACATCATTGCACCCCAGGACCACCTCTCTTCTTTCTTTTTTGTATTCTTTCAATTCAGCTCCCGCTGAACTGTAACAAAATCCTTTCCATGATTATGCTTACATTTAAAAAACACTTTATTAGAGAAGTTTGGTGATACACACATATTTATCTGGAAATACATAGAAAGTTTCACAGATGTGCCTTGTGGGATTTTCTTCAAAACAGCCCTGGGGAGACTCGACACGGTGGCTATATGGATGAAACAAATGATGATTTTAAGTGTTTTGTTAAGAAGACAGGGAAGAGGAGATGGAGGAGGGTAACAGCAGCAGAGAAACCTGTGAGATGGGCAGGTAGGAAGTTTCTCCAAGGAAGTGATGTTCAGACAGATACTTGAGGAAAGAGTAGGCATTCACCAGAGTGAAGAGTCAACGATGACTGACCCTGGATAATGGGTACATGAAGAGTCATTATACTAGTCTTGGTTGTTTATTTATGTCTAAATAGGAAAAAAAAATAAAGAAAATCTTTACATTTTTCCAAATCCTATTTATTCTTCACATCCATCTCTGTGCATTTCTCACTCATTATTTCAAGTTGAACATTCTCCTCTTTATTCTTATAAACTCTTAATACATTTTAATATTGTTCATTTAGCCTTAGAATACATCTTTGATAAGTTTCATTATTATATGCTGTGTCTTACTAAGTAGATTGTACTGACTGGAAGTTCATTGTTATTTAGCAAATGACCAAATAAATGAGTTAAGTGGGAAATTTCTTGTGTATGAATTCAGTTTGACCCCTTTATCAATTATACACAGTTCAGCACTGTTTAGACTGAAAAATTATTGTTGACACTCGGCGTTAGGATAATGCAATGTGATTACAGTGTATGCTATCTTGATTAACCCCAGAGGCTCCAGAATTGATCCTTGAGGAGATTCTAATATTGGGAAGAGTGGATGGGTTATGTTTTCCTACTTCCTGAGAGTTCATTTTGTCCTTGGAGTCTTATATAAAACACTTTATTTAATACCTTGTTACACAGCTGGGGAGAAATTAAGTTTGGTATGGCTTAAACTAGAACATTATAAATGGTTTAAGGTAAAGTGAGTGTGTACTTTTCTAAAAGAAGAATATTATATATTTAAAACAGAATAACATAAGGATAATCTTACAATCAAAACAGGGCTACTCAATGTCAGCATTTCTTTTCTAGAGATGCCCATCTCCCTGTGGTAGAGGCCATTTTTTAAATGGTCTCACCCAGCAATAACTTTTAGACAACTCTCTCAGTTCCAGTCTACACAGTACAACGGAAAAGTCCCTTGATTGTCTACCTAAGAGTTTTTCAATATTGATGGAATTGACATTTTAAGCCTTGTTGTAGATTCTTTCCTTTGCATTGTAGGGTGTGTATCAACTTCTTTGACGTCTATCCATAAATACCAGTAACATCCCACTGCCAGCTATAACAACCCAACTCTCCTCTCTAATGCCAAATTCTCGGGGGTACACAGATTCCCACTTCTGAGCCACTGGCCTACATAAGATCTCATCTTACAATTCTGAATTCTTGTCCATCCCAGGTGATAGTAAGAGTTCTCCCTTAAAAACAGAATTCTGTTACCCAGAGCATATCACTATGTTTAATAACCTAAACATCATGGAAGAGCTTTAATTTTACCACCTAAACAGTGAATACTTTCACTTTATAGGTGATCTCACAAAGTTTTAGAACTTTTTTTTTTTGTACCAGGGATTAAACTCAGGGGCACTTGACCACTGAGTCACATCCCCTGCCCTATTTTGTATTTTATTAGAGATAGGTTGTCACTTAGTTGCTTACAGCCTTTCTAAATTGCTGAGGCTGGCTTTGAACTTGTGATCCTCTTGCCTGTCTTAAGTCTCCCAAGCTGCTGGGATTACAGGCATGCGCCACTGTGCCTGGCACAGAATTCTTTAAGGCCTGGCTTCATAAGGGTCATTGTAGAGGTAGTGCAATTTGAACTGTATACTCAGTATTATGCTAGTAATTTGGGGAGGGGAAAGATGCAAAATAAAATGTGATTTTAGTTCATGAGGAATTTATAATCTAACTGTAGAAGCAAGTTAAACCACTAGTGAATATCAGAACAAACAAAGTGCAAAATTCTATTCTAGAGATGCTTGGCCTGACTTGAAGAATTCTACATAGGTGAAGAAGTATGCAGTAAGAAGGGTTGTAAATGGTTCTGCTCACCTGTAGGCAGACTAGGAGTTTGGATGATAGACCTCCTGAAGAGGACTATGTGCTAGAGATGCCTGTTCCTGTGGTAGAGGCATTCCTCACAAACCCAAACTCTCGATAAGGAGGCCTTGCAAGTATTTCATGTATATACAAAATTCTATTGTGATGGCCCCTGTTGTTTGCTCCTCTATCTCATTTTTATTTCTACCTTTAAAATGTTTCATTATTTAATATTTCTGTATTTGAAACCTCAGTAGACAAGCAATAGACAAATTTGAAAAGGACTTAAATAACAATATGAGATTTAACAAATTATTAAACTATAACTTGCAGATGAAGACACTTGTTTGTCCATGAAACAGTTGTGAAAACTGATTTTTAAAATTAAGCTCCACAGAGCATGAGAAGAAGATTAACATTAAACAGGGATGAGAGGTGGGAGGGAAAGGGAGAGAGAAGGGAAATTGCATGGAAATGGAAGGAGACCCTCAGAGTTATACAAAAGTACATACAAGAGGAAGTGAGGGGAAAGGGAAAAATAATACAAGGGGGACAAATGAATGTCAGTAGAGGGGGCAGAGAGAGAAGAGGGGAGGGGAGGGGAGGGGGGATAGTAGAGGATAGGAAAGGCAGCAGAACACAACAGACACTAGTATGGCAATATGTAAATCAATGGATGTGTAACTGATGTGATTCTGCAATCTGTATATGGGGTAAAAATGGGAGCTCATAACCCACTTGAATCAAAGTGTGAAATATGATATATCAAGAACTATGTAATGTTTTGAACAGCCAACAATAAAAAATTTTTTAAAAAAAAGGAATAAATAAATAAATGTCCTCATCTTTTGGACTAACAAAAAAAAAATTAAGCTCCACAGAAGAATATCAATGCCATTGCCAAGTAATAACACTTTCTAACACCAGATATATATATATCTTCTAAGGTGGGGGAAGGAAATCCATCTAAGAAATAATTCCAAGTCAAGGAGAAAATCACAACCATAACTGCAAATTTACAAGTTATTTACAAATTAACAACTATAAGAAAAAAAGCCCACCAAGGTAAAAATGAAACAAAATTCAGCCAAAGGATACTAGATGTAGCTTGATCCTTTATAAAAAAAAAATAAAGAGGGGCTGAATTTGTGGCTTAGTGGTAGAGCATTTGCCTAGCATGTGTGAGACA